CTCCTCTCTCCCTCTCCTCTCTCCCTCTCCTCTCTCCCTCTCCTCTCTCTTTTTGCTGGTCATGGGGCCTGAACTCTGGACCTGACACTGTCTCTCAGCTCTTCAGCTCAAGGCTTGCACTCTACCATTTGAGCCACAGCACCACTTCCAGCTTTTTCTGCTTATGTGGTGCTGAGAAATCGAACCCAGGGCCTCATGTATGCAAGGCAAGCACTCTACCATTGAGCTACCTTCCCAGCCCCTGTTTTCTCATCTTTAAGATGGATATAATAATCTCAACCTACTTAGTTATGATACTTACAAAAGTAGATGAAATATGTTAGAGCACGTCGTAAGATTATAAAATATGGCAAATTCATAGTAGTACAGATACAAAATAACTCTGAATCAATAATAATCTGCAGAGCTCTGCCTGATTTGCTTGTTGACTTTTCCTCTTCCTGCTGACTTGTAGCTTTCTCTTTGAATTTTCTGTTTAAAATTAATCTATTTCTTTCAAGTGCTGGTGGCTCATGCTGACTTGAGAAACATGGTTCAAAGGGAGCCCAGGAAGAAAGTCTTGAGACTGTCTCCAATTAACCACTCCCTCTCCCCCCAAAAAAGCCAGAAATGGAGCCATGGCTCAGGTGGGTAGAGTGTGGCTTAAGTGGTAGAACACTAACCTGGAGCAAAAAAACCCCAGAAAAACCCTCAGGGACTGTGCCTGGTAGCCCCTGAGTTTAAGCACCAAAACAAGCACACACACACAAAACCCAAAAAGTCACATATTTCTAACTAAACTAGGTATCTTTTCCTGGAAAATAGAATTCTTTGGGAATTTGTCCTAAGATCATTACCCGCAATTCATATTCACAAGCTGTGGAAAAGTTTAATTGATGATAGAATTTCATCAACAGGTCGCCACCATGATCTTCAGTGTGGACATGCTTTTTGTGAACTGTGCTTGTTAGTAACTGAAGAATACAGCACAGTTAAATGTCCTGATTGTGAGGTAAGTTGTCATTTTTCATATTGAATATTACAGCCTAATTTTAAAGGTAAAAGTATTAAGTAAAATATTTCTTCTAGTTAGAACCTAACTAGAGTAGCACTTTGGTTGTTCAGTAGATTTGGTGGTTCAGTCTCTAAGCAAAGTAGCCTAACAAGATAAAAGTTTTCCCATACATTTTAGAACATCTCAAAGTGGGGAGGAAAGGGATAGTAGGGGAAAAACAAAGGAGGGGGTAACAATACTTGATAGGAAATGTACTCATTACCTTGCTGATGTAATTGTAACCTCTCTGTACAGTATCTTTACAATTATATATATATATATAATATATATATATATATATATAAACTTCAGTAAACTTTTAACCAAAAAATTGAGGTCATATCATGTACACATTTTGACTCTACACTCCTATGTGGAAAAATTACCTTATTTCAATGGAACATACTCCTTTCAGAAACCTTATTCCTATCTGTCTTTTCCACACCAAGTCTATAAAAGCCGGTTTTGAGCCCTTCTCTTGCAATCTTTCTGTATCATCAAATTTACATTTGTAGAAATGTCATACTATTAAAAACAAACTAAGAGGGGTAACACTGTCCAAAAAGAAATGTGCTCATTTACCTGACATATGTAACTATAATCTCTCTGTATATCACCCCTATAATAGCAAGTAAAAAAATAACACATTTCACTGTTGAAAAGAAAAAAAAACAGGAAACAAGACAACTGCCTAATGTTAATATTTACTTCAGAGATACTAAATACAAATACTTTCATGAGCACTAAAATGTATTGACCAGTAAGAATGAGAACAAGTTAATAATCCATTATTTGGAGTTTGGAGTCTTTTTGTGTGTACTTGGGTTTGAACTCTGGGCCTTAAGCTTGCTAGGAAGGCACTCTGCCATTTGAGCCACATTCCTACCCTTTTTCAATTGTTTTTCCAGATAAGTTCTTGTGTTTTTGTCTGGAGCTAGCCTCAGACCTGATTATCCTACCTATGTATTCTAGTAGCTAGGATTCCAAAGTGCATACCACCATACCTTGACTGTTGGTTGAGATGGAGGTCTCATTGACATTTTACCTTGGCTGACCTGGAAATTCTGTCCTCTCAATTGCTACCCCCTATGTAGCTAAGATTTACAGGCATGAGCCACCTTGCCCAACTCACACCTGTAATCCTAGCTAGTTAGGAGGCTGGGATTTGAGGATCACAGTTTGAAGCCAGCCCAGGCTGAAAAGTCCTTGTGAGACTTATTTCCAATTAACCACCAGAAAACTAGAAGTGGTGCTATGGCTCAGAGTGATATCCTTAAGCACAAGAGCTAAGGGACAGTAAGTACCCTGGTCTTGAGTTCAAACCCCATGACCAACAAGAAAAAAAATTAAGCTGGGCACCACTGGCTCATGCCTATAATCCTAGCTACTCAGTAGCCTGAGATCTGAGGACCACAGTTGGAAGAAAGTCCATGAGACTCTTATCTCCAGTTAAGCACCAGAAAACCAGAAGTGGCACTGTGGATCCAAAGTGGTAGAGTGCTATCCTTGAGTGTAAAAGTCCAGGGACAGCACCTAGGCCTTGAATTCAAGCCCCACGACCAACACAACAACAAAATTAGCAAGGCATAGTATCTTATACATGTATTTGAGATTGGGAAAATCAAAGTTTAAGGCTAGCCTGGGCAGAAAAATTCTCAAGATTCCTTTTCAACTGAGAGCAGGTGCAGGGATGCATACTTGTTATTCTGCTTACACCAAGAAGCCTAAAATAGGTATTATGTCACAGGCATTATGCCCCCAAGCAAAATTCAAGGCTGTGGAGGGGTGGGAGGAGGTGGGGAGGGAAGTGATGGTAGGGGGAAAATAAAGGAGGAGGTAACAATGCTGGCTATGAAATGTACTCATTACCTTACTCACGTAACTGTAACCCCTCTGTACAACATTTTTACAATAAAAAATAATAATAAATTGAGACTATGTCCAAAATAACCAGTGCTGAAGGTCTGACTCAGTGGTAGAGTATCTGCCTAGCAAGTTTGAGTCCCTGAGTTCAAACTTTGGTGCTGCCACCACAACCAAAAAATGCTTTAAAAATTAACTAGATAGATTTGCATTTATTACAAATATAAATGTTGTTAATTTGTTCCTGGAAAGTTGACTTTGTCTCTCAGTTCTTTGTCTGTAAACTACAAACAATTGCTTTCCATGCCAATACAGTAGACAATATGGAGGCATAAGACCTAGAATACTGTTCTTGTTTTGTCAGTGTCCTCATTTGTAATAGAGATAACACCTGCTCTAGTAGGCCCATAAGAATTGAATATGATATAAAGAATAATATAAAAGTTCTCTACAATCTTCCCAACCACTAAAAATAACCCTTCATTATTTAGTTGTAGATTAATTGGTTTGCAGGGTAGACATAGAAAAAATAAAATACTGTAATTTATGAAATGTTTCTTTGTTTCTTGTGTTTTTTTTTTTGTTAATTCAAAGCCCTGAACTTGTTAGGCAAGTTCCCTACACCTTCAGACAAAGTCAGCCTAAACATGCACACATTCTATTTTGTTTTTTTTTTAAGTTTTAATGACAACAAAAATGTACATTTTAGATGTCTATTTTGAAATTACAGGTTACACCTTTTGTTTTGGGAAATTCCTATATCCTTCCCTTTTTATAACATGGGGTTCCTCAGATGTAACAGGTTAAATACTTAAGAGAAAGCCCTCCTGTAATTGTGATGGTAGCCCCTGACAGATTCAATGTTGTGGTGAGGGAAGAATAAGCTAAAAGGAAGAAGAAAGCCTCTGGGACCATCTCTGCTCATGTCCATCCTGTTCTGATGTTCAAAAAGTAAATTTTGCCTTTTGTGCCAGATGGTTTCATGTTTCGTGCTTGCAAATCATATTTCTTAAAGGCTTCAGATAAAATCAGTTTCTATTTATAGATCCAGGTTTTTTTTTGTCAGTCGTGGGGCTTGAACTCTGGGCCTGGGTGCTGTCCCTCAGCTCTTCAGCTCAAGGCGAGCACTCTACCACTTGAGCTACAGCGCCGCTTCTGCTTTTCTGGTGGTTTATTGGAGATAGGAGTCTCATGGTCTTTCCTGCCCGGGCTGGCTTAGAACTGCGATCCTCAGATCTCAGCCTCCTGAGTAGCTAGGATTACAGGCGTGAGCCACCAGCGCCCGGCTAGATCAAGGTTTTTATTTTAGCGTTTTGGTAAGTCTGTTTTACTATTTTGACTAGTTTTATTCTAGCTCTGTGGGAAGTGGGCTTATTCTTCCCTTCTCCACTCCAACTCCAGGTGTTTGGCATGTAACTATTATCTAGATTATTCAAATGCACTTGCTGGTCACTATTTAAAAGTCGTTCAAGAAACTTTGAAATTGTTTCCATTCTTATTGTAAGTCCTGATTTGTGTGTGTGTGTGTGTGTGTGTGTAAGTGTGTAAGAGAGAGAGAGAGAGACTGACTAGGGTTTGACTGGAGGACTTGGGCTTTTAGGCAGGTGCTCTACCACTTGGACCAATCTTAGCCCTCTTTTACTTTAGTTAGTCTTAGTATAGGATCCCCTATTTCTGTCTGCGACCAGTCTTAGACCTCAATATAAGATCACAAATGCAAAACACTGTTGAAAAGGGAGTCTTCCAGGCTGGCCTTGGTATCCACTGATCTTTGCCTCCTGAGTAGCTGTGAGTAAAAGGTATGAGCCTTTGCTTGACTTTGTTTACTCTTTTTAAAGTTTAGATTCTTAGGGAATGATACGTAATGATTAGATTTTTATTTTGAGAATATAGTATAGAGAAAAGCAGAAGAATCTAGTCCAAATTAGTTAACAATCTAAATTTAAGGAATGTAATTGATTTTGCATGATACGTGTCCTCTAAAAAGTGAGATTTAGAAACTTTTGCATATGATTTATTTGTAATGGATCTTTAATGTGGAATGCTTAACTAGGTGGTACTATATATATGCTTTTTTGCCAGTCCTGCGCCTTGTACTCAGGGCCTGGTCACTGTCCCTGAGCTTCTTTTGCTCAAGGCTTGCACTCTACCACTTGAGCCACAGTGCCACTTCCGAGGTAGTACTATTTATTTCAAACTTGAGCCAGAAGTTCAAGATTAATAGAAATACTTTTGTTGCTCGGGTTTGGTAAATGTGGATCTGTCAGCCAATCTTTATTTTTTCTAGTTATATGTTTTTTGATGACCTTCTTGTTTATTATATTAATGATTAATAATAAGCACTCTAACTTTATACAACAAAATGGCAGCTTTTGTTCTGTGATAGGATCATGCTAACATCTCTGATTTTTCCTTTTTTTAAATCTGATTATGAGAGTAAAAGATAATTCTTTCGACCAATAGACAACACATATTCTTAAAATCCCATGAGAAATACTACTACATAAAATCTGCAACCTATAAAGTAGAAAAAATCATAATCCTATGATGTTGGATGTAAAGCCTTGTAAAGCATATAATTAAGTCAGACCAATAGACAAAACATTTATTAAATTTGGAATGTAGAGGAGGAAAAAAGATGTGAACGTGGAAGAGGGACATTTTGAGAAAGGAAAGATTAAGGGAAGAAAAGAAAAGGGAATAAGGGAGAATTATAGGCGTTTGAATATGACCAAAGTATATATGAGTATTAAAATGTCACAATGAAACTATTGTACAATTAATGGACACTAATAAAAATGACCATATATAAATGACAACATGTAAGGAATAGAATTGTTTTACAAGTCCTAAGGCTTGAATTCAGGGTCCTGAGCTTTTGTGCTGAAGGCTAGCATTCTACCACTTGAGTCATAGCTCCACTTCCAACTTTCCTAAGTGTGGTTAGTTGGAAATAAGAGTCAAATGGACTTTCCTGCCCAGGCTGGTTTCAAGCCATGACCCTCAGCTCTTACCCACCTGAGTAGCTAGGAGATTATAGGTATGAGCCACCAGAACCTGGCCTCATGTAATTTTAACTGAAATTTGTTCAGTCATTTATATTTAATATTTTCTTAAGCTGTCTTGAAGAAACATATCAAATATGCTAGCTGTACTATGAAATGCTAAGCCAAAAGGGGATTAACTAGAGGTGTAAATTTTATAATTAGAAATTTTAATATAATTAGTGTTTAGTCCCTAATTTTGTGGGAGTGTGCTTAAAAATACTGTCCATTATGATTTATTAAAAGTAAAACTTTAAGGTAATAACACAGAGCTAGCACATCAAAGTTGTGAAATAACATTTTGTTCCCCACTAAAAATGTATATTTCCTAAAATTTCCTAATATTTAGTAACTGCCTTTCAACATTCACTATAAGATTGTAATGGCTATATAATAAACCTTTACATATAAATGCAATAATTTTCTTAACTGATATAATAATCCCTTCATGAATACACATTTAGTTAACTTTAAAATCTTTTTTACTATAATTTTTCACACTTCTCAAACCCTTCCCAAACCAAAAAAAAAAAAGTTATCAGTAAGGTTGTCATTTATAGATCCAAAAGAAATCCATGCTTGGACTTGTCCTATTCTTTTCATATAGTAATCTGATGGATAAGAAAAAATGACTTGTTTTAAATTGTAATTCATGTTCTACTACTGAAATTATGAAGTGTTTTATATATCTGACTTACAGATTTTTAAAAGTTATTCTTTTTTGCTTTATATATATTTTATTCTTAGATAGTTGTACAAAGGGGTTACAATTCCATAAGTCAGGTTATGAGTACAATGTTTCTTAGTATCACCCCATCCTTAGTTCTTCTCCATTTTCTCCCTCCTGTCCTTACTCTGAAGTTACATAGTTTAATTTTTACATAATATTAGTACCTTGAATATAATGACTACATTTACTTATCCTTCCTACTCCAATTCCTGTGCCTATTCACCCAAAACATGTTTCCACTTCTTGGTATTTATATTGATAAACAGTACCTTAGTTGTTCAAGGTGTGTTTAATTGTGTGTGTGTGTGTGTGTGTCTGTGTGTGTGTGTGTCTGTGTGTGTTACTGGGGTTTAAACCTAGGGCCTTATGTTAGTTTGTCTTGTTCTGACTGAAACTGTAGGTTTGAATTTGGGCCTGGGCTCTGTCCCTTAGCTCTTTTGTTCAAGGCTAGTATTCTACCACTTTGAGCCACTTCTGGTTTTCTAGTGGTGATATTGGAGATGAATCTCACAGATTTTCCTGCCAGGCTGGCCTCAAACCATGATCCTCAGATCTCAACTTCCTGAGTAGCTAGCATTTCAGGCATGAGCCACCAGTGCCCAGCTTTGACTGGAACTCTTTTTCACTTAAGCCATGTCTTAAGGCCTGAAATTTGCTAGCTTTTTTTTTTTTTTTGTCGGTCGTGGGGCTTGAACTGTGGGCCTGGGCGCTGTCCCTCAGCTCTTCAGCTCGAGGCAAGCACTCTACCACTTGAGCTACAGCGCCACTTCCGGTTTTCTGGTGATTTACTGGAGATAGGAGTCTCACGGTCTCTCCTGCCCGGGCTGGCTTTGAACTGCGATCCTCAGATCTCAGCCTCCTGAGTAGCTAGGATTACAGGCGTGAGCCACCAGCGCCTGGCTGCTAGCTTTTTTTTTTTTTTTTTAAGAAACAATATCACAGACTTAAGTAGGATCCACTGAGTAATTAGGATTATAGTAATGAACCACTAGAGCCTGGCTTTTTTATATTTTATATATTGGAATGTGAGTGTATAGCTATTTTTTAGAATGATCACCTGACTTTCCCATACCACTTAATAATCCTTCCACTTAATTGAATGGACACTAGTATTGAAATGACACTTATAGTCCATATTAAGTTCCCATAGGTAAGCCTTTTTAAAGACTTTATTCTGCTAATTATGCCAGTGAAACTTTAGTAGCTTTATAATAGTCAATAGAAATAAATAGGGATAAATCTCTATTGTTGTACATTAAAAATCTTATGACAGGCTGGGTATTGGTGGCTAATGCCTGTAATCCTAGCTACTCATGAGGCTGAGATAAGAGGATTGAAGTTCTTAACCACCTCTATGAAACTCATATCCAAATAACTACCGAAAAAGCCAGAAGTAGAGGTATGGCTCATAGGTAGAATACTAGCTTTAAGCACGAAAGCTCAGGGACAGTTAAATGCCCAGGCTGAGTTCCAGCCTAGGACCAGCACACACACATCCACATCTTAAAATAGCACATTTTCTTATGTAAACTTAATAGAACTATATAATGTATTAGATGCAATTTAGGATATTAAGTCTTCAGAAACCTGCGTGATTCCCTTATTTATTCAGTTCCTGGAAGTGGAGGTGTGTTAAGTGGTAGTACCAGCCTTGAGCAGAAGAAAACAAGCAAGAGCACAAGGCCCTATGACCAAGCCATAGTACCTGGAAAATTTTTGTTTTATGACCTCCAATAAATTACTATTAAAGTTTATACTAGTTATTTCTAGAAAATTTGTAGTTTTGAATATGCAACAATGTTATTGTATACTTTTATAGTAAATTTTAAAGTATTTTACAGGTATTTATTTCCCTTAGAATTGTAGAGGAATGAAATAGTTTATTTTTAATATTTGACAGGATACTGATTTTTAGATATTAAAATGGGGTAAAAATATCTTGAATACATACTTTTTCCTTTGATTTAAAGGAGATTTCATTATGTATAAGGTTATCAGTTTTATCTTTGAATGGCACACTGAACATAGTTGTTTGAATTATTAATAAATGGGATTTATTGAATACCCTTGTGCTTATTTTTATTTTTAAATCTTTTGTTCCAAGGTTGCTACAACAGTAAATACAAGACAAGGATACTACCCAACAGACGGTAGTAAAGAAGATTCTTCTATGGACAAAGTACAACCCAAAATGTATGTTCTTGTGTGCATTTAAAGTTCAAAATATTTCTGAAATAATTTTGGAATTACTGGTAAAATGTCATTTTTAGATAAGTGTGTCTAATCTATCATGTATACCATGTTATATAAATTCATAATTTGTGGTAGCTTTTAGTTGAACTGAAACAACATTAGTTTATTTAAAGTGAAGAAAAAAAGATTTGCTACATCCAAATGAGAGGTTCAGAAAACATTACTAGCAAAAACCTTTTACTGAATGATGAAAGTAAGTGACAGAGAAAAAAATACTTATTTTTCTGTTGGTCTTAAGAGTGGTGATATATAGAAAGGACATAACTTTGGGATTCTTTTATTCATTTTTCCATCTTTTCGTAAGATTTGGAACATGTAAAGATTAATGTTCTCTTAGAATTAGTAATAGAGATTGTTTTTAAGAAAACAGTACCTGGGCTAGAGACAACCATTATGCTTCTTTTTAGTGTATTTAGTTGTTTATATTTGTTTCTCCCTTCATAGTTGGGGCCCATTTCTCTATCCCTGGTACAAGATACAGAGTAATCATGTATCTTGTAATCATGTAACAGGTTTGTTAGATGATAAAAACATAGTATTTTGACACATGGTATTTTGATATTTGCCATAGGTTTTCTGAAATCACATAATCTAAATTTACCTTTAGAGATGGCTCTGGGCTGAAATATGGTATCAAAATGGTAGAATTTAATTTTGTAACTTTTTTTTTTTGCTGCTATTGGGGCTTGAACTTACAGCTTGGCACAGGGCCTGGGCACTGCCCCTTAACCTTTTTCGCTCAAAATTGGTACTCTACCACTTGAACCACTTTCTGTAATTTATTTTTTATGACAGTAGAGGGACTTGAGCTCTTCCTTGGCCTCTTAAAAATTTTTTTCATTACTAAATAGTTATACAAAGAGGTTACAATTCTATAAGTCAGGTTATGAGTGCAGAGCATCTTGATCAATGTCACCCTTCCATTGTTCTCCACCACAGATGGTATTTTAATGCATGTTTAATGTCATTACTACACTGGGAATAAAAAATATAGCATCTTCCAAGGAACAGTCTCATTTGAAACTTTCTAATTGTATAAAAGATACAAAGTGACGCATCCCAACTCCTCACATTGCAATTCATTTTACCTCTTACAGATTCTCTCATAACATCTTCTATTTTATAACCTGTCTTCTGTTATTACCAAACCATTCTCTTGTTCTGTTTTGTCTCTTTACCATTTCTAGACTCTTCTTTGTGATATATCTATTTCTTGATTGTTTACCCAATTAAAATCTCAAACTCTTTAAGCTAGAATTTTTGGCTTTTCACATGAAGACCACAGCTTTTCTCTTTTCAGACTGAAATAGGTGCTTAGAAAGGAATCAAAAAAGCTGGGTTACATCTATAGTCCTAGTTTCTCAGGAGGCTGAGATCTGAGGATCTCGTCTAAAGCCAGACTGAAAAGACAAATTTAGAAGCTCTCATTTCTAGCAGAAAACAGGAACTAAATGTGTGGCTGAGAGTGCAAGGTCCTGAGTTAGGCCTCAGTGTTGGCATACAAAAAGGAGAGAGGAGCTTGGTGCCAGTGCTTCACGCCTGTAATCCTACTTCAGGAGGCTGAGATTTGAAGATAGTGGTTTGAAGACAGCCCAGGCTGGAAAGTCCATGAGACTCTTATCTCCAGTAAACTACTCAGAAAAAGCTAGATTGGTGCTGTGGCTTAAGTGGTAGAGTGCTAACCTTGAGTACAAAGAAGCTTAGGGACAGTGCCCAGGCCCTGAGTTTTCAAGCCCCAGGACTGGCAAAAAAAGGAGCCGGGGAGGGAAAGAAGAATGATTTATTGTTCTTTGAATTGAAAAATCACTTAGCTAAGGTTGGCCACTGGTATTGACGGAACCAGATCAAGAACTTAGGTATATTGAATGGCACTACTTCTTGCCAATTATATTAATATATTTCATCAGTTAAATTCTTCCATGAGCTTTGTGCCAGTGATTAGAATAACCTTTATTAATCCTAGCTCTTTGTGAGTCATTGGACATAGGTCTTGATACCATGAAGTAGATTCTTTTTTTTGTCAGTCATGGGGCTTGAACTCTGGGCCTGAGCACTGTCCCTCAGCTCTTCAGCTCAAGGCAAGTGCTCTACCACTAGAGCTACAACACCACTTCCGGTTTTCTGGTAGTTTATTGGAGATAAGAGTTTTACGGACTTTCCTGTCAGGGCTGGCTTTGAACCGCAATCCTCAGATCTCAGCCTCCTGAGTAGCTACGATTACAGGTGTGAGCCACCAGCGCCCCGCAGTAGATATTTTTAAATCAATTATAGGGCTTCCAAATTGAATACTTGCAAAAGTCAAGCAGATGACCCCTAAGTAACGTAGACTGAGTTTAAACAGTAAATAGTAAGTACTGTTAAAGAGGAAGAAGGTTTATCCTCAACAGAGGTGGCATGCAGCCTCTATCCTAGCCAATTGTTGGTATGTATAAAGACCAATCTAATCTTCTTTGCTTCCCCTAAGACAAACAAGATGCAAGACAAATCAGATAGTACTCTTGTCTAAGTACCTGTGTTAGAACTTTTAGAAGTAGATGAGTTTAACCAGAAAGTCTCCAAATTTGTTTCACATTGCCACTTTTAAAATTAAATTCTCCATGCATATTTAATTAGTGAAAATTCTAGTTTTTAATGAAATTTGACTTAAAAGTTTATGTATTTTTAAATTGTATTATTTTTCAACGGATTCATCTTTAAATTTTGAAATCAAAATTAAATAAGGATTCTATAAGAGTAAGTACTCAAATATGATTTCAAAACATGAATATTACCAGGAATGGTACTAGACACCTGTAATCTCTGTGCTTGCAAGAGTGTAGAAAGTTGGAGAGTTGGAGGCTGGCTCAGGGTACTTAGTAATAAGACTCTGTTGCAAAAATACAACATAAAAATATAAATATTTACTTTAAAAAATAATAGAACGTTTTAAAATTATTTGGTCTCGTATTTCTCTTTATAAGAAAAAATACTTACATAAATTATATGTTTATTAATTTATGATTATGATTAACAGACACTTTTTCTTGCCAGTAAAGATATAAAGATAAAAATTGGGCAAATTGGCTTCTGTAGAAAGGAGAATTTACTTTTCTTTACAATTAACATTTAACATTATGTGTTTGTAAATCATTGAAGCATATCCGTATACATGTAAAACCCATTTTGGTATTTTATTTTGTGTGTATGTCTTATTTTAATTGAGCTGAAGATACTTCATTATCGATATTGCCACCAAAACAGGTTAAAGAGATGACTATGACATTAAAATACAATATATAACTTCAAGCCATTATGTTTAGGAATTGGTTAAGAAATTGAATTCCTAATTAAAATTAAGTTTATATGAAAGCATATTTATTCTTGAATTCTCTAAAAGATAATCAGAAATCTGTTGTTGTATATGCCATATGAATTTTTGATAGACAATGAAAAAGCAGATTTAAACATGTTAAACATGTTAACATTCCTGATAGCACTTCAGATAATGTGCTTGACTTTTCACAGGCTAAAGAATTGCTCTCCAGACATAAAGAAGGCCGATAATCAGCTAAATATTGGTGTAGAACAATCAGCCTCCATACAAAAGACTTTTTTGAACTCAGCCATGATATCGGTATGAAAAATGGTGATCATGAAGTACAATGAATCAAACATTTGGCTCTATCTTTGGTAGCTTTACTTTTTCTCCAGGTTTCTGTAATTGTAGATTCTTGGACATTTAAGGAGAATAGAGGTAAATCAACTCTTTGCATTGCCCATTGTTTTTCTCTCCACTTGGACAAATTCTAACCTATGCTTAAACATTCCTCTTTTCTTCCTGTGGCAGCCCTTTGACTCTTCTGTTTGTTTTTTTTTTTAACTACTTGAATGTATCATCTTCCCTTTAAACTTGTTACCAAATTCGGATTTTATGAAAACTATGTACCAAGTACAAGTTTCTAAATTCTAAATGTAGTTTTGCAGTTATCCTAATGGCAGTCTAAAGGCTTAATTGCATTTGTTGTTGATATCATTGTTACTGGAGAGTGAATTTTACCTGTTCCTGATAAATGTTCATACTATATTAATTTGAGATTAGAAATACAACAGACTCTAAAATGCAAATGAATAACTTGGAAGTTTTTGTTATGATTATTAAGGAGTTGGGAAAGTGGAATAGCTCTTAATCTTGGTTTATTTTAGTTCCAGTTTAAATCTTCACAGAGCCACTATAATTTTCGTATGTGTACATTAATTGATATGGTGTGTCTAAGATAATTTTTAGTTTAAAAAATGGATACAAAGCATATTCCCCCAAATAGTTAAAGGTCAGATATGGTGAGCAACTGAGGCAGGAGAAACACAAGTTAAGGCTAACCTGGACTACATAGCGAGGCTCTTGCTTAAAAAAGTGTGTGTATATTCAAAAAGTATATGTATATTTTTAAGGTATGTGTTTCGTACATGTATTCAAAAATATGCTCACTCTATATATATGGTCATAAAAGTATACATATAGATACATGTAGGTAGGTTGAAAATCTTTTTAGAAAAAAATCTAACAGGCTATAATCAAAGGTGTGAAATGTGAATGGTTTGTAGTTCTAGATAAGGAAGATTAAGATTGTCATTTTTGTTGCTTGTTTTCAGAATTTGCAGTGACTCTGTATTGGGCTTATAACCCAAATGGTAGCTTGAAGGTTTTGTAACTATAATATATTGTATCTGAACATCTATCTTATGTAATTGTTATAAAGGCGGTGTACAAAGGGGTTTACACTTACATAAGTCAGGTAAAGAGTGCATTTCTTTTTGGACAGTGTCGCCCCTTTTCTCTCAGTTTTTTTCTCCCACCCCCACCCACAATTATATTTTCTAAATACCTATTTTTACATTTTGTATATGGTTCCCTCTTAGGAAACTAAAACTACAGAAGAAATTGATGAAGCATTGAAAATTGCAGGCTGTAATTTTGAGCAATTAAATATTTCTATAAAAGTAAGTATTTTGGATGATTAAGATTCATCACAAAGTGAAGCATTGTAATCCATTTGAATGTGTTACCACTGACGTTAGAATTTAGCATTGATAATCTAATAATAAACATACAAAAGAATGGAAAACTCCCCCCGTGGACTGCCAAAATTAGATAGTAGCATTGTTGTTCATTAAGAGCCTAAAAAATTGGAGATTATTAAGGAACCATGAAGTTTACTTTTCTGTGAGCTGAATGTTGTTCTTAGAAGCATCGCAGATAATCTTTCTATATTTGTTCATTGTCATTATGAGCCTTTTCTAACTGGCAAAAGATAGTCACTGACAAAGAGCAAGCTCTTAAAGACCCAGCAATGATCATAGGGCTTGAACTCATGGCCTGGGATGCTGTCTTTGAGCTTTTCACCCAAGGCTAGCACACTATAACTTGAGCCAAAGCTCTACTTCGGGCTTGTTTAGATGGTTCATTGTAGATAAGAGTCTCACAGAGCAGGCACCAGTGGCTCATGCCTATAATCCTAGCTACTCAGGAGGCTGAGATCTGAGGATTGCAATTCAAAGCCAGCTTGGGCAGGAAAGTCTGTGAGATACTTAACACCAGTTAACCACCAGAAAACTGGAAATGGTTCAAATAGTAGAGTGCTAGCCTTGAATAAAAGAGCCCAGAGGCAGTGCCCAGACCCTAAGTTCAAGCCCCATGACTGACAAAAAGTAAAACACCTCTCAGAATTTGCTGCCTGAGATGGCTTTGAACCACCATCAGATCTTAGCCTCCTAAGTAAGCCAAGATTATAGGCATAAGCCACCAATGCCTGACTGGACAAGACATTTTGATTAGCTAAAAGTCACTATAAATAGGTTTCTAAACAGAAATGAAAGGAACTTAAGGCAAGCGTCAAGTAGTAGAGTTCCAGCCGTGAGTAAGAAAGCTAAATGAGAGCACAGACCTTGAACTCAAGTCTCAGTATCAGCACCACAAAAAGAAATATGAAAAGAGGACAGAATTCTAAGAAAAACATTGAGAAGAAGGAAAAAAATGAATGCTACATGTGATGAAAAGCAGTTATAAGGTAATAAAATACTTAGTGTAATAAGAAAACAAATTTGGTACATGAACTGGGATAAGACTTTTAACAACTGAATTTGGAAGGGGTACAATTCAGTCCCAAACAGGCTACCTCCTTCCCCTTTCTTTTTCAAAGAGAAATCGATTTATCCCATCCCAACTTCCTCACAGTCTTAATACTTGTTCCAGCATCAACTATAAATCTAAAGTCACCTAAACATCTAAATCAGAATCAGGGTGGTACTCAGTATGATTCATGGGCAAAATTCCTTTTCAGCTATAAATCTGAATTCAGCCAAGTTCATCTGTTTCTAAAACACATTAGTCAGACCAGTGATGTAGCTCAGAGGTAGAGTACTTGCCTAACATGCTCAAGGCTTTGGGTTTGATTCCTAGCACTAGAAAGAAAAAAAGTATAAAATAGAAGGGTTATTAATCCCAAGCAAGTTTTAAAATTTTTTAAAAAAGTGCAAAGAAACGTGGAATAAGGTAGCATTTTAATTTAAGTGTTTCTAAGTTGTCTTTAGATGTATATATGTAGAATTCTGCCACAAAGAAATTTAGTAGTTCAAAATTACTTATGTCATGTGATGAAAAGAGTTCAAAAATCTCACCAGTGGATATTTTAGTGGGAGAGATTACCAATAAAAATAACAAAAAGATGTCATGCTGGTAAGTAGAGGACACCAAGTTGAACTTTAACTTATTTTTTTTATTGTTGCATCACCTATTGTGCAGTAATTTCGAAATGTCTAGAAGTTGCTTTTAACTTTCAAAATCACACTGTAACTTCTACAAAAAGGAAAAAGTACCAAAATTTAGATCTTTGAATTATTTTCCCAGGTACTTGAACAAACACAAAGCCAAACAAAGAAGGAGACCAATCATCTTATCGAGGTTGTTGAGAAACAGTTTGATAAGCTTTTTGCTTCTCTTGATTCTAGGTAATGTAACTGGAGTTTTAAACGTTGACTTGTTATTCTATTCATTTGTTCATATTGAAATAAGTAACTTTTAAACAATTTGTACTTTCAAATTTTTGGTTGTTTACCTACCCAAAGCTAAATAAATGACTTCAGAGTAAACTACTTACTTAAAGCCATTAGTACTGAAAAACATTTTTCAAAACCTAGCTTATGTTTTAGAATTCAATATATATGAAACAATACAAGCATTATTACTACTACATAGGTCTCATTTTCTCATGTGCTTATTTGCATAAAGTCTTTCTGACAGGCAATACTAAATGGCATCATTGGTTTTTTCAAAGCTCTTTGATAAATACTATTTTAAAACACGTTGTGGATTCTCTCCATTAGGCATTTCAAGGAACAGACTCATAAGACATGTGACATATTCAAATAGTACATAGTAATGTTACTTGTCCATTTACCTTTTAGATAAATACTTAATTTTCTTAGTACTCTGAAGGCTGAAGCAGAAAATCACAAGTTCAAGACTAGACTAGGCTTGAAACCTGTCTCAAAACAAGAACAAAAAAACCCTCCTCATGGTGCCTGGCACATAGGCTTAATCTGTAATGCATAAATTACTTGTTATTGAACAAACCTACAGTTGGGTTTTCTTAGTAAGTGCTATTCACAAAGTTATAGCTATAGCCCTTGGTTGAAAGATTAATAGTACCTTACATTTATTCTTTAATTATTTACACATTCAAGTGATAATATTCAAGTCTTCTAATCTCTAATCCCCACACATACAGGAGTCACTTTTTTGCCTTTTTAATGGAAAAATATAAACAAAATTTATACTTCTAATCACTTTCTTCCTTTGAGACATAATTACATTTCTTTGAAACCATTTTTAAATGTGACAGTACCAAGGCTTAAACTCAGGACCTTGTGTTCTCAGTTTTCTTGCTCAGGCTAGTGCTCTACCACTTGAGCCATACTTCCAGTACAGCATTTTGCTTGTTAATTGGAGGTGGAGTGCCATAGTCTCTTATACCTAGGTTAGTTTTGAACAGCCAATCCTCCAGGTTTCAGCCTCTAGAATTATAGGTATGAGGCTCCAGAGCCTGGTATCGAACCACCTTTAAGGGTACAGGTTAGTGGCATGTGGTAATTCTGTGTTTTAGCTTTCTGAAGAACTGCTAAACTTTTCCACAGTGGCTATATGTACCATTTTACTTTTCCCACTAGTATTACACAAAAATTCCAATTTCTTTCATTATCCTTCTCCCCCTCCCCCCAGTTCTGGGGCTTGAACTCAAGTCCCTGAGCTTTTTGCTCAAGGCTAGTGCTCCACCATTTGAACCACAACACCATTTCCAGCTTTTTTAGAACAATTTATTGGAGATAAGTCTCATGAACTTCCCTGTCTGGGCTGGCTTTGAACTGCAATCCTCATATCTCAGACTTTTCTTTCTCTTTTTTTTGTCTGTCGTGGGGCTTGAACTCTGGGCTTGGGCGCTGTCCCTACGCTCTCAAGGCCACAGCGCCACTTTCCTATCTCAGACTTCTGAGGCTGAGAGGTGTGAGGCACAGTGCCCGGCTCCTTACCTTTTTTTTTTGGTCTGGTACTTGGACTTCACTTCAGCTTGAAGACCTTTTTTTGTGGGGCTCAGTTATGAGTACAATGCATCTTGATCAATGTCATCCCTTCCATCAGTCTTCCTTCATCTCTCCCAGCTGGCAATTTCAATGATTGTATCTTCAAGTTGGCCGATGTGTCCCCCTTTCTCTCTCCTCCCTGTTTCCTCTAGCACAAGCTACCTTTAAGTCCACAGTAATCCTGGGTAAGAGTGCTAGGATTACGCCCAAGCATCACCATGCCTGGATGATTGTTCTTCTGCCTATTCACATATGTAGTTGAGCCACTCTAGTAGGTTGGGTTTGGGTTTTTTTGCTTCAGTTATTATTCTTTTCAATATAAAATGTAGTCTGTCTGGTTCCTTTTTTCTTTCTATATTAAAAACATATTATTTTATGCCATTTTTCTCATTTTTTCAGTTCGTTGTTACTTTTTCCTTTAACTTTGGGATTATTAATACTATGTTTTTGCATCTCTTTACTAAATCTAATGGCTGTGCTTCTTCAGGAAAATTTCCACCATAGCTTCTTCCTTTAAATGGGCTTATTTGTTCTTGTTATTATTCTTGTTCCTTTGTATTCTGGTGATGATTGTACTGAAACTTGGACATTGGAAAACTAGCAGCCTTCTCTTTACAGTGTGGGGTTTTTTTCTAAAGTGGTTCTTCATTTGAATAGCTGCATACTCTCAGCCTATTTATGTTAGCCCAAAGTGAAGGCTTAATGTATTCTCAGATCTTTGCTTTGCTTTTTTTTTAGTGGTACTGAATTGGAACTCAGGGCCTTGGACTTGCTAAGCAGGTGCTCTTACAACTTAAGCCATGCTCCCAAGCCTTGCTCATGCCCTTACGATTGCCCATAGTCCTTCCCCTCTGTCCTCAAGCATTTTTTTGGTATATATTTTTTATTATAAAGATACTGTACAGAGGGGTTACAGTTATATGAGTACGGTAATGAATACATTTCCTATTTAGCATTGTTACTTTGTTTTTCCCCTACCATCCCTTCCTCCCCAACTCCTCCCTCCCCCACTAAGTTGTGAAGTTCCTTTTCAACATAGCACTTTTCCTCCATTTGTCTTTCCCTTATTACTCCCCCTTCCTCTCCTTTTTCCTCCCCCTCTCCCTCCCCTTTTTCCTCCCCCTCTCCCTCCCCTTCTTCCTCCCCCTCTTCCTCCCCCTCTTCCTCCTCCTCTCTTTCCCTTCCCTTTCCCTTCTTCCATTTTCTGTAGTTAATTTCAAATAAGTTGCTGCAGTTTTTGCACAGATCACCCTGGGACTTTGATCCTCTTCCTTTCAGCCTTCCAAATAGAATGGATTTTGGTGATAGATCACAACATTGGGCTTGTTGATTAAGATGGCACCTCACTTTTGCCCAAGCTAGCCTAAAACTTCCATTGTCTCCATCTGTGCCTCCTGAATGGTTGGACTTATTGTCTGAGCCACTTCACCTGGCCTTTTCTCATGTGTGCCTGAGCATGTGTCTTTCTGGACCTAAATACAGCTTTGTTTTAAAATAAGTTTTTTATTGCAAAAATACAGAGGGGTTACAGTTACATGAGCAAGATAATGAGTACATTTTTTGGGGGGGGTCTGGTCATGGGGCCTGAACTCTGGGCCTGGGTGCTGTCCCTCAGCTCTTCAGCTCAAGGCTAGCACTCTACCACTTGAGCCACAGCACCACTTCTGGCTTTTTTTTTCTGCTTATGTGGTGCTGAGGAATCGAACCCAGGGCCTCATGAATGCAAGGCAAGCACTCTACCCCTGAGCTACTTTCCCAGCCCCAATGACTACATTTCTTATCAAGCATTGTTGCCTCCTCCTTTCTTTTTCCCCCACCATCCCTTCTCTCCCATCTCCATGGCTACACCCCCCCACAACTAAATTGTAAAGTTCATTTTTTGACATAGCATCTTGTACATCTCATGTTGCAGTGGGTCAACCTGTATCCCTATTTAAACAATTTTTCCCTTCCCCTCCCCAAATTATACCAACATCAAATGCAGTGAAAACAGGGGTTATACCCTGGGGGAGGGACATACAAAGCAACAAAAAAATCACGTGGCACCTTATAAATACGTTAGAAACAATAACAAGAAAAAAAAAACCACTTGTGTCCTTATCTTGGGTTTTATTTTGCTTAACATCATCTCATCTGACCTTTTCTGCTTGTCTCAGACATATACTAAATGAATGGATCAAGAAAATGTGATATATATGCACAATGGAATTCTATGCTGCCATCAGAAAGAATGACATTACCCCATTTGTTAGGAAATGGAAAGACTTGGAAAAAATTCCATTAAGTGAAGTAAGCCAGGCCCAAAGAAACATGGTCCCATGGTTTCCCTATTTGCAATAAACACTGCTTTTAAAATTACCCTGTATACAAAGTGACTTTGACATTTGCAGTTTTGCAGTGAGTTTTTTTCAAGCTTCTCTGAGGCTTCAGGTGTGTCTTTACATGTAATCTCTTGCCCAGGCATCTGCCCTGCCTTTTCTGAGCAGTACTTACTGTTCTTCCCTGCCTGACACCTAAAACAAATACCAGTCCTTTCAGGCAGTGCCACACCTGTTAAAACGTTGGCAATCAGGTAGCAACTGTCTACTCCTAACAGACTGAAGAAGGAGACAAGTAAAAATGCCATTGAATTTCTTGCCATTTTGATTGTGGCCCTTGTTTTGTTTTTGTTTTGTAATGGTGCTTGAACTCAGGATCTGGCTGCTGTCCTTGAGCTTTTTTTGCTCAAGGCTAGCATTCTACCACATTGAGACATAACTCCACTTCTGTTTTTTTGTTTTTTGGGTTTTTTTTTGGTTGATCATGGGACTTGAACTCTGGGCTTGGGCGCTATCCCTGTGCTCTTCAGCTCAAGGCAAGCGCTCTCCCGCTTGAGCCACAGCACCACTTCCAGTTTTCTTGTGGTTAATTGGCAATAAGAGTCTCACGGACTTTTCTGCCCAGGCTGGCTTTGAACTATGATCCTCAGATCTCAGCCTCCTCAGTAGCTAGGATTACAGACGTGAGCCACCAGCGTCGGGCTCCACTTCCATTTTTAGGTGGCTAATTGGAGATAAGAGTCTCAAGGACTTTTCTTACTCTGGATGACTTCAAACTGTGATCCTTAGATCTTAGCCTCCTGAGTAGCTAGGATTATAGGCATGACCCATGAGTGTATGTCTTGTTTTGAGCATTTTCTTTTCTTTTCTTTTTTTTTTTGGCAGTCTTGAGCATTTTCTTTAAAAAAATTTTTTAAAATTTAAATAAGGATACAAGTAGACCCATTGCAACAATGAGATATACAAATCGTTATGTCGAAAAATGAACTTTACAACTTTGAGGGGGGGGGTGTTGGAGGGAGGGAGGAGATGGGAAGGGATGGGAAGGGGAAA